GAGTCCCAGTCTGTATATCCTCTATGCTTTAGGAGTCCCAGTCTGTATATCCTCTATGCTTTAGTAGTCCCAGTCTGTATATCCTCTATGCTTTAGGAGCCCCAGTCTGTATATCCTCTATGCTTTAGGGGTCCCAGTCTATATATCCTCTATGCTTTAGGGGTCCCAGTCTGTATATCCTCTATGCTTTAGGGGTCCCAGTCTATATATCCTCTATGCTTTAGGAGTCCCAGTCTGTATATCCTCTATGCTTTAGGAGTCCCAGTCTGTATATCCTCTATGCTTTAGGGGTCCCAGTCTATATATCTATGCTTTAGGAGTCCCAGTCTGTATATCCTCCATGCTTTAGGAGTCCCAGTCTGTATATCCTCTATGCTTTAGAGGTCCCAGTCTATATATCCTCTATGCTTTAGGGGTCCCAGTCTGTATATCTTCCATGCTTTAGGGGTCCCAGTCTGTATATCCTCCATGCTTTAGGGGTCCCAGTCTGTATATCCTCCATGCTTTAGGGGTCCCAGTCTGTATATCCTCCATGCTGCAGTAGCTCCGTATCATTACCATTTTTTCAGAGTTGTTATCTGTGTTTTAGCAATGGAGTCTTGTAGTACTATGTATATGTGTTATAATACTACATATATGACTACAAGCTACAACAAATTATATGCGGCTCAGTCATCAGCTTTAACGATCCACCGATGCATATGAAAAACGTATGTTAGGCCAAGATTTGGCCCTTCGCTTTCCCTATGTTGACCCAATGTTAGGCCAAGATTTGGCCCTACACTTTCCCTATGTTGACCCTATGTTAGACCAAGATTTGGCCCTACGCTTTCCCTATGTTGACCCTATGTTGGGCCAATGTTAGCCCTAGGTTGGCCCTGTATGTGCTTGGGGCCCGTCGGATGTTTTTAATCTGGCCTTGGATCCCTGCACTTCACCAGATTACTAACATAGCCTGGCTCAATCACTTCACCAAAAAGAGCATAGCACACACTATACAAAGATATGCTTTGTACAACTACATGCACTCTTCTGGATATGCACTATCCGACATTTACCATATATATATATGTACCCTAGAGATAGACATTAAAAATATCCCAGTTAAAGGAAGCCGTTCGGTAACTTCATTGTTTTGTACAAGCTAAGATTATTTTTTTTTAAAAAAGGTAGAGTTCATTTCTTATAGTCATGGGTGACCGTTCATTCTCTTCATTGGAGACAGTCGCTAGATAAAGTGCAGGTATGCGCCTTCTTATCACTACACACCTGGGCCAGTTCAGTACGACACGGCCCGAATACAACGCCCATGTCTTTCAGTGATTAGAGTTATGCAACAGAACATTGGTCACGTGGGGTGCCAGATCGCAGGGTTAACCCGGCCTAAGGACATCAGTAGTTGGATTGGCTGTCAAAATATGTCACACTCGGTCGCCTTAATGTCAAAATATGTCACACTCCGCCGCTCCCTTTAAGAATGCCGAGAACTCGTACAGGAGAAGTCAGTGAATTAAGGAAAATTGGCTTTGATTTTAGAATATTGATTGTTCTTAAATGAATTTCTGCGAATTCAGAATCAATTTAAAAAAAAATAAAAATAATAATTTGGATTATAATGAAAATTTGGCCTCTTGGCCTCTAGCATTTCTTTTAAGTGGAAGCTTTCTCATTAGTAGCGACATCCCACGGAACGGCTACGGCAGTGCTTCCAGCATTTTTAATACACAACTTTCAACAACAAAAAAAGTAGGAGGGGGGGGTGGGGCATGACCGTGCTGAGAAACAGCTGCGCCCGCGGCGAATCCGGCGAATCCCGAAGATGGTTCCCCGGTCCCAAGATTTCATCGGTAAATGATAGGCCTATACGTTATAGCCATTTTATCTATATATTAGTCATTGTAGTCTAAGAGTGGCGGGTGGGTCCACGCGTGGATGGTGGATAAGATATAATGTTGCTTCCCATCTGTTAATCTCATATTTTCCATATTTAGCGATGCATATTCCATAGTTATGACACACCCTCCCCAGACCCCCCACCCTTCGAGACCACGTGACACCAAAAACCCCGCCTCCATATGGCCCGGTATGATGTAAATGTTTAAGTAAGTTTTTACAGAAACTGTAACATCTACTGCTCCCAAACCCAGTGTTATAGCCTGTGAGTTGACCTAGTTTTTGTTCAGCTCGAGCCGTGGCATGCAACCTCCCCCCCCCCCTCCCTTT